CCTTTTCTATATAGCTTACCTAGTACTTTAACTCTATTATATAATATTGACTTAGGCGCTTCTTTTCTTATCTAGCACTTTGTGTTTTGTACTTTTGTTGATGGTATACTTTCATTTGCAGCTATCATTATCGCTCTAGCTACAATTTCCTAGTTCTTATCAATGCTTTCACTTTTTATGTTCTGTAATCTGCGCTGTTGTTCTCTTTGCTTTCTTTTTGCATTTATCAGCAAACATTTTACCTTTTGGCTATATGCTTCCCAATCTTCTTTTGTTGTCTTGTGTTACAAATAGATTCTCCTTGTTTCTCCTTGGCTTTTCTTAGTTCTTATTCGCTTTTTTTCAAATAAGTCAGTACTATCTAATTGTATTCACACTATACTATAATCACTATCTGTTATTGTTTCTGAACTGTCAATATTCCCTTCTACAATGAATAGCTTTAAATCTTGACAGCACCATATGTAATCAATTCGTATTGCTATATTGCCATTTGTCTATGAAAACTTAGTAGAACTTGAGTTGCAGAAGTGAAATGACTCAATATAATTTAAATTGCTTAGCCATTTTAGGATTTTTGAATTTGCATCTTTTGCTCGTTTTTCTCTGCTACTAGTATCTAGATCATAATTGAGTACAGCATTGAAGTCTCCCATTATTATACTATATGTATTTTTCTTATTTTTGATAAGCTCTTCTATGATTATCTTATATACTTCTTTGGCTACTTTTTCATTTTTAGGTGGTATGTACAAAACCCACACCTGTATTATAACTTTTCTAAAATAGAACTCTGCTTTGAGAAGATAAGGACTAAATTTCTTGCATACTCCCATATGTCGAAGCTAGTTCTGGTCTACTAAAAAGCCAATTCCTGATCCTTTATTCTTATCTTCTTCTGTATTCGTCCAAAAACTTTTGTATAATTCATTTTCTGTATCAAACTATTTGTCTTCTTTTTCACTTATGTTTGTTTCTATGATACCTACTAGGTTAAATTGTTCTTCATTGCAATAATCTGCTAGCTGTTCTAACTTTAACATATCTCCTTTTATTCTATTAATATTGTGTATTCTAAATTTGATTTTCCTCTTCTATGCATACTTCATTTCTTTATCTTCACTTCTCTTTAGCTCTTCTTCTTGCTCCTTTGTCTTTTTATTAACACCTTGGTTTAGTATACTATATGCCCTTTCTGTATACTTAAGTTTTTCCTCATAAGTTATATGGGCATCCTGTGGTTGGACCTTGGCTACTTTCAGGAGTGATTAGGAGCATTCTGCTTCCACTTACTTACTTTTTCCTCTAATCTGTAAATAAGTTGAACTACGTATGCTATTGACATGTTATCATCTTCTTGGCTTTTTATATTGCTTATCTGTCTATTGCTCTTCTCAGTTTTTCTCTTCTTGCTAGCTTCTTCTCCTTCTTTTTTCTGTATACTTTCTTTCTTATCATACTGTTTTCTATTCTCATAGTTGTTGGCTATATCTTCTTTTTTATTTATATTACTTTGCTCGTACTACTTGCTTCTCCATTCTTGCTCCAAGTTCATTCTCTTTTATCTTGCTCTATTGTATGATATTTTATTAGCATTAGCTTCTGCATTTTCCCAGGAGAGTTTTGTATCATAGTATCACATACTATATCTTTTTACTTGCTCTAACTCTTCTTTACTTTTAAATGAAACAACAGTGAATCTCTTATTGTTTCTATTTGTGTTTTTGAAGATATGTACTGATTTTGCTCCTGTGTGCTTAATTTGTCTAAACAGAAGTACTTCATTAGCTTCTCTTGAGATATTATATAGCTTTGTCATATGTTGTTTTTAGCTTTCAAGAACTTCTCTACTATTTAGTCCTGGTATGATACGAACTAGTATATAGTTCAGTAATGGTATAGCCCAGACTTCTCTTTCTTGATTGTTTATTCTCAATTCTTCAAATATGATTTCTGCTTTTATTTTCATACGGCCTTTTTGAATCATTTCGATATTTGTAACTCTTCCCATATGTATTACTACTCTGAATACTTGAGTTCTTGAAATATGTAATAGAATATCCCATATTGTTATTGCCTTTTCTTCTCTGCTTGTGCTTGCTTTAGGTCCTTCTTGATTCAAATCTCTTTTCTTTGAACCTTCTAGGCCTCTACTTTCTTCATCATAGTATTGTTTTCTCTTTTCCTTTAGAATACTTCCCTCTCTATTCTCTTTATTTCTTTGATATCTTGTATCATTTTCTTTCTTTTCTGCTTCTATAGTGATATTTTTTGCTTGTGCTTTTTCTTCTATTTTGTCTTCTTCATATACCATCTTTTCTTTTCCTTTGTTTTTAATCTGATTTATTTGGATCTTTACTTGTTCTTCTCTTATTTCACCTCTTTTTCTCTCAATTTTTTCTAGTTCTATCTTTGCTTGCTTTTCTCTTTCTTCTTTGTTTGTATTCTGACTTTCTACTCTTCTTATCTCTTTTTGCTTATCATTATTCGTTTTATTTGCTTTCTTTAATAGTGCTTCCTCTAGAATTAGATTTAGTTGCTCGTA